CCAGCGATAATCAAATCAATTTCCTACTTCGCGTCTTTGGACCAAGGCAACGTCAGCATTCAGCCTAGTACTTATATTATTATCTATGGTACAGCCTAACATTCCACCGATCGCGTCCGCGGTGTAGGCGTAACATCCACTGTCATTTATCAGACAGGCGTGTGTAGCGGAACCCAGGTAGACATCTGCAGCGGTCAGCATAACGGATCCATTTAACGGGAGCGGCCATTGCTTACTTCAACGCAGCCATATTGCTGAAGGCTCTAATTAGGCTGAATTGATAGTTTTGCAAAATATAAGTTACGAGTTTCCTTAAGCTCTATTTGTGTTTTTTGTACCGCTAGGATATTTAAGTTTTAGTATTTTAGGCTGGTTCTACAAGCGAAGATTTATAATGCTTTGGCAAGGTGCAGGACATGAAATTAGACGTAAAGTTATTGACATTGTGTTGCTAACCGATTTCAATCCCAATGAATCTATTATATATTTAGTATTGCAAACGTAGTTTGATATTGGCTTTTTGTGTGTACCTGTATTCTTGTTGTGTGTCGTGGCAAAATAAGTGGTTTTTCTTTCTTTATTTCTATATTAAAAACGTGAAAAAATGTGCAATTGGAATGCCGAATAATGTTTGATACGTAGGTACTGTTTTCGTAATCCGTTATTAAGTATCTACTTATTGAATAACAGTTACAACAAGATTTGTATAATCGCGCGTTTACGTGTTTTTTAAAACTGAGGTAATATTATGTTTATGAGTTATAGTTACGACCAGTCTTATTTTTCGGAGTAAGTAGGTAATCAGTGATTCTAAATTAGAGCTCCTATAATATTTAAAATAAAGGTGACGGCCTCTGTGGCTTGTCATTTGCGTGTTGATAATTTATTTAAGCTTAGAATGGTTTTATTTATTTGCAATTATTATTAGTATTTATCTTTAATTAAAATTATACCTACATAACAATATTAAAGTAACTAATACTGGCACAAAACAGTAACGAGTATGCTAGCCGTAACCAGCCAGCTCATCTAACAGTACTAATTACGCACTCATTAAGAAAGCTCATTGAATTGCTAATTTGATAACGCAGGGCCATCAACGGACACGACTGGACTGTTTCAGAGGTTTATGGTAGGAAACATTATACTTTGGATATAATGTTTTCCGAGTTACCTTATGACCTGAGCTATAAATGTATAATAACTTATTACTAACTAACTTATACCGCGAGCCGCGTTTTAATATTAGGAAATGAAATGACGATGTGTCTATCTACAATCTAAAAATCCCGATACTGGTCTATTGCAAAATATTATATTTTATTTTAGACTATATGTATTTTTTTGGCCCCATGGTGGAAAGTCCTCATGAAAACCCCTCGTCTGGATGAAGACGAAGGGGTCTCATGATTTAGGTGAAATATCTAGGTCTCATCCCTGTTTGTAACTGTTGTCACGTTTAGTTTAACACTTGGTAGCTCTTTTTCCAAATAAAAAAATGAACACTGCATCATGCATGTCCATGATATGTGCATTCAAATGTTCAAAGAAAGCCGACTACACATACGGACATAAACATAAACCTACTACCTTTACTCCGTTCTTCCTGTATCCACAAACGAGTTAATTTAATTATAACCTTAATTCCATCATATAAATATGGGTGGTTTTCGCTTGTTAAGACTTAATGTGTGTTATGTAATATAAGTACATAAATGGGTACTAAATATAATGTTGGTCTTTTATCGCTTTACGATTTATGTACAAGAAGCTTGAAAGATAACTTGAGTATAATGATGCTATAAAATGGCTGGACTAAAAGTGTTGGTGATCTGAAAGGAGGTCCCATGGCATTGGTAATGAGGTAAGTCAAAGTCAAAGTCAAAGTCAAAATCATTTATTTCAATTAGACCAGAAAGGCACTTTTGAAAGTCAATAATAAAATTAAAAGTGAAGCTATTTGCTCATTCCAAGGTGTAGAGATAGAATGGTATTACATAATTTGTTCAATGTAGGTAAAAAGTCAAAAGTCAAAATCATTTATTTCAATTAGACCAGAAAGGCACCTTTGAACGTCAACAATAAAATTAAAAGTGAAGCTATTTGCTAAATGTATCGATGAAGAATCGTAATGTAATACAAATTAGAGGTAGATACATACTTAATACCACGCCTTTATACCCCTGAATGCGCTGGCAGACAAGCACATCTTAAAATGTAAAACCAATTAGGCATTTTAATGTTACGATTGGGATATGATATCTCTTTAGGCAAGGCTCCTAATTTTTTTTGGTACCTTCACCGCTCCTGGCGCCTGATGCACTTACCTAACTTGCCTTAGGGATAATAAATGAGGCTCTGCATGTAATTGATTAACCCTTCGACTGCCGACAGAAAATTGCTGAAGGCAAATCCTCCGCTAACGTAGGTCACCGGTGACCTACGCGGCAGTTAACGTGTTAAGTTTTGACTCAAAATACAACCATTTAGGACCAAAGGCCAGAGCATAGAGATGCAATCGGTATAAGATAAAATCACTTGTAGCTATATAAACGGTATTTAAAAGGATCTTATCTTCACCAACTTTAATGTCGTTGTTAATGTAGCCAGGTACGTATGTAATATGTATGTATGTACATCTTTAACCGAGATACCATTCCAGTGGGTCGCGCCGGCGCAGTTTGTGCCCAATGTCCATTTAAGTGTGTGGAGTAAATGCAAATTATGGTATTTACATAGTATCGTGAACGAGGCTCTAATGTAATTATGGTATACTTTAAATTATATGGCACTGTTTAAGTAAAGTAATTATCTTATCAAGTATTTCTACATGGCAGTAGACATAGTCTTTTTTTTAAGGAGGGAAAATTATCGAATTTCTTCTACCAATGCCTGGGTGAGGTGGGAGGGAGTGTCAGACTCTTTCTGAATAAAAACCACCCAGTTCATACTCCTGCACTTCGAGCCGGAGCCCCGGCAGCCCGTTAAGTCCTCCGCGGTTCCGTATCGTCATCAGCCCTATTGGCCCTATCACCCTATCGGTGGTGGTCTGATGGCTCTTTGAGGCGCGCACGCAACGCGACACACCTCCGACCCGAAAAAAAATTTTAGATTTAATGAGTACTAAAATGTAGGTCACACTTCTGAATATTATTTTAGGACGTACTTTAAAGTTCCATAATCTTGCACTTCCTATACTTTGGTCAGTGAAATTAATGTCAAGTTTTATGAACAAATTTACATAATAAGTTTATAAATATTGGGCTATAGGGAAGTAAACTTTAAGTGCACGATTTCACAAAATTAGGCACATAATGTTGACGAACAGATTATTTCGAGGAGTCATGTATTGCAGTTATGTAATACTCATTGTAATAATATTTATTTCTTGTCGATTCATTGGCAAATACATGAGTATAAATAGTAGTATCATCGGTGTTTTGACGATTAGTTATGTCATTGTTCCTATTTCATAGATGAGTGAAGTATTTTTCGTGTTATCATTATTGCATTTTATAATCGCTATCGTGAGACATACTAAATTAACTAAAAATCGCGGGTTACTCACGTGAATATACTGAGAAAAGCTCTACTAGTTTCGAACCACAGAGTGTTTGTTCCTCATGAGCAGTGTGCGCGGTCGCGGCGACGTCGCGCAGCCTATTGGTTAGCGTTGGCGCTCGCATCTGTGTTGCAGTTGCTACGGTATATTCACGTGAGTAACCCGCGATATTTAGTTAATTATTATTATCATTCAATGTCGATGTTTTTATTTATTTAAACTTTATTTTCAGGCAACTGCGGCTCATAGCTTAACTGCCGATTTCAATAACATATTAGTGATATTCAGTACCTATGTACCTTTGTTTTGTTATATATTTTTCGTTGTATGTATAGTTTGTGTACACAAAACAATGTAGAAGAATTTAATAGTTATAAATCTGACAAATATTTGCTATCTTAAACGATGAATCAGCAAACTGCATAAATAAAAGAGACATTCATATTTTGTGCAATCTTTCATCATTCATATGCGCAAATGCAAAATTAAACACGCTAAAATCACCATATGCACGGTAAACCACGTTTAAAATGATCACGCTGCTCCTATTTGAAGATGTTGATGCTGTAACATTTTAATTGATCTCAGTTCTGTAATAATTAATTTGTCAAAGATCTGATTGAGTTCTCTTGGTAAGTAAGGCTTGCTTACATAACTTTTGTTTCCATGAATTTAAATGAAATTAATTGGTTTCGGCGCGAGTGTCGGTGGATTGATGATCACTTTATGCTAAGTGCCGTTGGACGAACATGCTGATTTGATTTACAACCGTTCCACATGTTTGATTAATGAATTATCTCTGTTATAATTCGCAATATTGATGCTAATCAAGTATGAACTTTATATTCAACGGGGTTTAATTTAGAAAGAGTTTATGGTTGTATATAATTCTTGTTTCATTTTATACTAGAGGTGACACGTGTTATAATTTACATATTAAAATTAATTTTTGTGACGGAAGTTTCATAAAATTTAATAAAAAATGTAAATAAATGCGACCTGCATAATAAATCTCGACGATACGAATGTCAGACACAGTGACATCACGTAGACGGTTGAAGTCATTAATAAATCTCTCTCTGGTTTATCGGTACTAAATAAAGCCAACGATACACCAGGGGATAAATGTCCTGCGACACGCGTCGCCAGCGACACCGAGGGAAATAGCGTGGTGCCGGACTTTGGTCGACATGTCTGGCAACATCAACGTCATTGTGGACATAAGTTGCGAGTTGTCACCGTCACCGTATATTTCAAGCGACATCACCCGGCTTCGCTCGACAAGTCGCCAATACATGTCGTGGGGCATTTGTATCCTTGGATTTATGTTACATAAATCAGAATTGTTGGCTTCTTGAATAATCAAATTCAATTAATTACTAATTCACTTCTATGTAACTCAAGTAATACTACATAGTTAACTTTAAAGTCCACATACCTGAGTATACTGCAGTGCGTACTCAGCAATGAGCGCATGCGCATGATGTGCCAGTGGAACATGTAGTGTTAGCGGCGCCTCGCGGGACGACGACAGCTGCAGGGAGTGAGGCGCTGATGATGAGGCTCGGAGACCACTGAGTGACAGGCTGCGGCGGATCGTCAGGCCGGTGGGTCCTGGGTAGGGAAAAGAGGTACAATAGTAAACCGCTAATGGCCTTTTGTTTGTGGTGACATTAAAGATGAATAGAATAATAATGAATAACCGAATAGTTTCAAGTTGATTTAGGCATTTTTACAGAAATTAACCTAAAATTGTCACATTGCAGTTTGCAATTAGGAATGACCTTGTGATGTATATTGACTAGTACACACCTACTTAATGTAAAACAATTAAAATAAACAAACACAAACCTTTAACTCCAATAGTGACAGCGTTATGTGAGACAGCTAGGACAGCATTCTCTCCAGGCGGCACTCGAGCAGCGAATAGCCTGGCGAAGTAGAATGGCCAGGAGCGCGCCATCTCCACGGCCTGGCGCTTGGTGGCCGCGCGGGCCGGGGCGCTGCCCTGCGACCGGAGCCACGCGGCGCCCGCGCGACGCTCGCTCGAACTGATGCGCAGGGACGGCAGGTTCGAGTTTATGTCGTGGACAATCTGAAAGAGGATAACCAGTTAGTCTAGTTGGCCAAGAGGTAGTTTCAAGTCTGCCCATGCTTAAGATTTGTGTTGTGCAAAAACTTGACCAGAAACTTTTTTTATAGCATAAGCCGGTAAACGAGCAGACGGATCACCTAATGGTAAGCAATTGGCGCCGCCCATGGACACCCGAAACACCAAGGCAAGTGTGTTGTCGGCCTTTTGGGAATTGGGAATTTGAGGATTGTGGAGGATTCGGGGATTCGGAAGACTAGGGCGGGGAGTAATTGGGCCTCCGGTAACCTCACTCACACGACGAAACACAACGCAAGCGTTGTTTCACATCAGTTTTCTGTGAGGCCGTGGTATCACTCCGGTCGAACCAGCCCATTCGTGCCGAAGTATAAAACTTATTTACGATTGTTCCACGAGGAAAATAAATTAATGACAAAATGACCTAACTGAACGGTTGACCTTAACCGTGACCGTCCCAGGCCAGTTGGCTTAATTATTTCAGGAAATTGTAAGGTATAAACTTACTTGTGCATATAGTAGATCTAATATGGCCGGGTCGTTGTAAGTCTCCAGAGGTGTGAACACTTCCTTGCGCACGCGCAACTTCCAGGGCACGCGGCTGTACGTGAGGAACGAACGGTCTGATGGGAGTAGAGCTGCTGGTGCTGGCACGTCACCTAATTAAGCAAAGAATATAATGTAAAAAAAATTTTTATTCATTATACATTAAGACAATTAAAAAAGGAATTAAAGTACATACGTTCAATGTGTTCAGTTCTGTCGGTGACGTGTGTAGACACCGAATGACGTCTCTCCGCCTCCATCTTCCTATCTCTCTCCTTCTGTGCCATGTGCGTCTTAAATGTCGCTCGTTCCATTGTTTTAGTTTCCCTGTTCTCCTGAGGAAACATTATGTCAGACCGCGGACTTTCTCTTGCTCTTCCTACGAGCATGTCTCGAGAATTTTTCCTGCCATCAAATCTTTCAAAGTCGTCGTAGAACGGAGATCGTTTGCGTTCAAACGAGTCTTCTATTATACCATTCTCTTCTTTCCTGCGTTCGGTTCTTGAGGTGTGCACTTCGTAAATCTCCGACGCCTGTCGACCAGTATAGTTGTCTCTATCCCGACGGCCCGTCGTGTCGTGTCCTGATTCAGAATCCCACTCGTCTCGACCCTGTCCTCTATCGTCGTAGCTGCGCACGTCAGACTCATCGCCCCAATCATTAACTCGACGTTCAGAGTGACGACGGTCGGCTGTTAGGAACCGAGTCGCTAAGTCATCTCGTGGAGGCTCAGATTCTTCCCTACGTCGAGAATTCCAGTTCGCTAGGAAAGCATGACGGTCATCTGCTTCTCTGTTTTGATGTACACCGAACGTGTCTCTGTCTCGCCGTAGTTGTGCAAATGTAGAGGACGCGTCAGGAGCGGGAGGAGGAGGCGCTGGACCATCAGGGGGTGTGGGAGGTGACATTGGTGGTGGAGGCGCAGGCCCTGGCGGTGCAGGGGGTAATGGTGGGGGTGGTGCATCCCATCGTGCCCCACCACCTAACTGACGCTCAAGCATTAACTTTCTTGTATCTTCTAATTTGTTAATAGTACGAGGAGTCTCCGCAGCTGAAGATGTACTGCGTACAGAATGATTCGCGGTAACTCGTTCTAATCTTTGTCTCATTTCAGAACTCAATTTGAGTTTGCCTACGCTACCAGGAGATGGACGTTGAGCTCCGATTTCGAAGCTTCGCCTAGCTGTGCGTTGATTTGGTGGTTCTCTGCTTGGTGACACTACTGGTCCGTCTACTTCAAATTCTTCCCACTCAATACCTGGCGTTGTTTCTGACTTAGATCTACCTCGGGGTGGTTCATGTTCCATGCCGTTGGACTGTGACTGCGGCGTGTGACGTCTCTGAATTTGACGTAATTTGAATTTGGTAAAATCTTGAGCTTGTTCCTGACCAACTGCATCTTTTGGAGGGGGCCACCGCCATTTACCGATGCGCACAGTCTTGGCCCGACCGTATGGATCCACAAAACCTTTTATTTCTAAAGGATCAGTCGAGTGTAGTGGCGGAGGCATTGGTGGTGGTGGAGGTGGTGGAGCCCCAGCTGACATACTCTCATTTGACTCTCGTCGTAACTTCACCTCTCTCCTCGGTGGAGAATGAACTTGAGCATGAACGACGGTTGAAGAACGAACCGGAGATGTAGGCTCCGACTCTGATGGCTCAACTACTTGACCAGCTAATAGTGTTTGCAGAGCTTGGTTCTGAGCAAGCAGTTGTTGTTGGATTTGAAGATTTTGTGCCATCGCGCTCTGCAGGAATGCACGTTGTAAGTTTTGATGATACGCGTTGATATCAACTGTGCCAGGAGGTGGTAGATGGAGCCCTAATGCGGCGGCCAGCGCTTCAGGAGTAGATGGCATTGTAGGCGGGAGCGGCATAGCTCCGAAACTAAGAGTAGACGTCGTTGCAGCAGCTCCTCTTGGAGTGGCTCCACCTCCTTTTATGGCACCAGAAAGTCCTTCGCCGTCAGTGAGACGTTTTAAGCTATCGTTCATGAAGATTGGATCGAATAAGTTTGTGATATAATCATCGACAGAGTCCACACTAGACTCCTTCCTACTTGTTCTTCCTTTGTCCTTGTCTTCTTTCCCTCCACCTTTGATCAGCTGTTGTACTTCAGCAACATTGTTCAAAGTTTCTATTTGTTCATTGTACTCGCAGTTGAGGACGCTGTCGATGAAATCGCTGTAATTTCTGCCTCCCTTGATGCTGGCAGCGAGCGACCGTGCATCGGAGAGTTCGTCTATGTTGGGGTCTAGCACAGGAGAGAACAGGTCGTCCAAGAACTGGTCCACGTCGGACGCCTGGCTGGGAACGCGGACTCGACGCACATGCGATGCGAGACTTGGCGCTTCAGAAGTGTCTGACATAGCTGATGACCTGAGAAAACAATAACATTTATTATAGTATCATTCATTTAAAACTGATGATATACAATGAACCACTACAATCGATAATTAATTACCTGACACCTCCAAATTCTGAGCTCTTCTCAATATATGCACGACTTGACTGCGAGCCGGCTGGCGCGCGTTTACCAGCGTACTGTGACTTTATGTACCTAGAGGGCAGCACGCGCGATCCTGTTCCATATTCCATTTCCATGCCTCCTTTACTACTTGCCACGCTGGGGGCGCCTACTAAACGCTCCACGGAGTGGTATCTATCATTCAGTCTTGATTGAGACAGCCCTAAATCTGCTAGTTTGTTCGGTGGTGGGGCAGGGTTGTCTCCTAGGAGATTATCTAAAGATCTGCTGCGGACTTTGTCGGAGGTTTGTTCGAAGTATCGTTCGTTGAGTGCGGACTCCCGCGACAGTACGTCGTGGGAAGTCTTTCTAGAATATTCGTTGCTATGTTTGGAGTATTCGTTGCTGTGCTTCGAGTATTCAGTGTGCTTAGAGTATTCAGTCGTGTGTTTCGTTGTATGTGACTCCTCTCGTTTCTCTATGTTCCAGTTGTATTCTGAGCCGTCTTCATCGATAATGGAGTCTTGTAGCATACGTGGTATACTTGGGGAGCGAGATTTTGGTGGCTCCGGTGGTGGGATCTAGAGAAGATAGATGAAATTTAATTTTTTGGTTTAAAAAAAGTATTGTGGAAATGTATGAATTTTAGTTCCTTAAGTTCAGTACCTGTGGTCTGCTTGATTTCTCAGTGTCAACAGACGACGCTCGTGGCGGCGGTGCGGGCGGAGTGTGCCGCGTGCCCTGCGCCTGCGCACGCAGTGCCTCTGACCGAACGCTAGGTAAAGCTGCCCATGTCTCGATCTCACCCACTGCGTCCAGGGCGAACTCACAACCAGCCCATTCTATAGAGACAAAACATTATTTATACTTACACAATAAAAAAGACCTCATACAAAATTAACGCAATATCATTTAACTCGTCGAGTACCGGTTTTATAGACACAATTAAAGAACAATAGGTCGCGGTCACCGGTGACCGCTTGGTGTTTGACAGTTTAAAACAATAAAAATACATTGTCTGTTGTGAGAACAGATCATGCTGTGTAATTTCGAACAGCTATAATTTTTTTTTAATATAGTGGACATTAATAGTACTAGAAGTGTACCTTAACAGCACTAGCAAGAAGGTTGATTGCGATTTGACAAAATATTCCTTACCAGTGAGTTGTCCATTATGTTCCATGGTGAGTGACCACCCAGTAGCGTTGTTGTGTACCCCGGCGGCGGCCAGTGCAGCCGACGCCGCGCGCTCACACGAGGTCCACGAGTCCACGCTCACGTGGTGCACTGAATCTGTGAAATAATAAAAAATATAATATATTAGTGCTATCAGTGACACGTACGTTTGAAATTATTTGGAGAAACACCATATTAATTCAGCAAGCATTCCAGACTTTGAACACCAATTTTTTAGTTCAATCAAGGAATTTTTTCGTGCACGTATTGAACCCGCGACACCTTATGAAGCAGACACTTGGCCGCTGTAAGCACTAATCGATCAAACAATTGTTTTATTCTTCATTAATCATAGCATACCGTCATAGAGTCGCAGCGGCAGCGCGGGCCTGGCGTGGAGGTGCGCGGCGCGCCACTCGAGCAGCGTGGGCGGCGCGCGGCGCGGCGTGGCGGCCGAGCGAGCCGCGCCCGCGCCGCCGCTGCCCAGCGACCGCAGCAACTGCCCGCGGCACGACGCCGGGGCGCGCTCCGACACTAGCCGCAGTAGGTATCTGGACCAAAAGGCATGGAGGGCCTCAATAAGTTATTTCAAAACACATTTTGTAAAAAACATAGATTCTAAACTCTAGTAAATTCACTTCGAGCGGCATAAAACAGTTATCTGATCGCGGGCAAAAACTGTAGTAGGTACCTGGTACAGACTAAGCTTAAATAATGTACTAGTTTCGATTGGATCTTACAATATAACAGGCACATATCAGGAGCCTTGATTTTTTTCAGGAACACAATTATCTTCCCACTCATCTTTTATAAAAATGCTTTAGTTTTTTTTAATACTTTGCCTTAGTTATGGATTACACGTTTTATTAAAAAAAATAGTAGCATCATTCGTTTTAATTGTAGTAGCAAATATACTGACTTGTGTAATGCAGGTCCTGGTTGGAAGGCAGACAGACAGTGCGCCATGAGCTGCCATACTCGTTCGGACGAGGTCTCCCCACTCGCTTGGTTGCAGATCTGTACCAGCACCTCGTCGCGGAGACCACGGGATTGCAGACCGCGAGATGCTATGTAATCTGCTAACACCTGGGAAATTAATGTATAATTAAAAAAGTGTTAACCTCAAGTTATCAATCGATTTCCGACCTTCTTACCGAATTTTAAGTTAAACAGATTGAAGTAGCTTGATGTAGGTACTAGCAACAACCATAAAATCATTGCGCAATAGTTTGCGCCTAAAAATGTTTTCGTGACGTGTTTAGCGCAATAAGATTGATATTTGAACGTTTACCTTCTGCCTGGCTTCGTTTCCAGCGGCAGTTTCATCGCACCATCTCAATATGAGTTTGAACGTTGCCACTGCGTCGTTAAAATCTTGGTCCCTGAAACAAAAACATTTTTATTTTAGTAAAAAATACATACAGTCTTTCGAAATTAAATATTAATTAGGTCTTTTGTAAATATCGTTGTGCATTAACAATCAACAAAATCAAAGTAATAGAAAAACAGTAATTATTTTAAAACTAGATTATTAACAAACCTGACAGCAGCCTTTGCTAAGAAGGGCCTGGTGATCGGATGTTTCTTTGGGCTGAGGTGTCCACCATCAGCGAAGTATACCGAGCTGAACTTGGAAAAAGCAAACTGCTGGAGGTCGCGTGGGAGCTGGATTCGTTCCTCTTCAGCATATACATCACCTGATACCTGTGGGTTTAATTAGGGTGATTAGATACAAAAGTTGACATAGAAAATAAGTAGTCAGTTATGTGTGGGGACACACAGACATACATTAATATGCACCGTTAGTATATTAGGAACTTAGCGCCAGTATGTAACCTAGCGTATAAGGTATGAAATAAAACAAAGTTGGCATTAGACTCTCGAGCGTATCATTTGTCTCCACACATATAAATAACCCAACAGAAACAAATACTATATATGCATAAATGTAAAAGTTCATTGATTGCTTTGATTAAGTATACTGAGGAAGAATTTAAGGTTTAGAAGTTCGTAGCGGTGAACATAACATACCTTGGCGAGATTCCTCTCAGTGTGTGGTGGCTGCCACTCATCCAGCTTGGAGAGTATGAAGGCGAGTTCAGCTGGAACTTCCAGCACTTGCAAACTCTCAGCCTTCGCTTTTTGTGCTGCTTTCTGTTCTGCAGCGCGACGTCTGTGAATTGTAGTACGGTAATGTTACATATTACATTAGATTAATTTGGTTTTATCAACAAATCACAACGTTGGTATCTGAGTTTGTGGTGAGCTGACGATTTGACAGACATTCAAATCGTTTACCATTGGCCGATTGGCGTCATCGACGGAGGTTTATGATTCGTTTGGTCGCAGTGCTAGCTTTAAAGAAGCTTTTATTAATTACTAGCTTTTACCCGCGTATAAAAAGTAACTTATGTGACATATACCAATACACACAGCGCCGTCTATACCAATACTTTTGTTTTTCCTCGGGAATATCAATTTTTCCGGGTTAAAAAGTACCCTATTATTTAATCCGGACTTCTAACTTTACGTCTGCAAAAATTCAAAGCAATGGGTTGAGTAGTTACGGCGTGAAGGTGGAACAAACAAACAAACTCACTTTCAGATTTATAATATTAGTAAGGATAAGGATGGTAGCCTACATGCAGTACATACTTAGCAGCCAGTTGTTGTGCCTCTGCCCGCCGGCGGTGTTGTTCCCTGAGCGCGTGCAGGCGGCGGCGCGCGCGGCGGCCGCGCACGAGCGCCTGCGCGCGCACCACGCCGCGCCGCACGGCCAGGTACCGGCGCCTCGCCGCCGCGCCGCGCCACCACGACTGTACGCGCACTGTCGCGTATTGCAGCTGTTCGTAGCGTTTCCTGGGGGGAAGGAGATTGTTTTAAAGCCTGAAGTAGAAAACAAACTATTGCTAGGGTCGTCAATATTTTTTGAATGTATGAAAAGAATAATATTGCATGTCTTCACAACATTCATTACAGGCGAAATTATAACAAATAATTACCAAAGAGATTAAGTACCAGCCGGTTTCAATATGCTGTATCCAAAATACTGTCAATTTTCTATCACTGATAAGCAAACCTATTGACAAACTGGCCGTGTAAGAATAAGATTTCAAACTTAAATTGTTCAAGTTCAAATTTAGAATAAGATGATAGGAGAATTAACCTATCTACTAATATCTACATATTCGTGACTATAGAGGCAATAATGTAGCACATATCTTTATATAGAGGTACATACTTCTTCTGTGAGTGTGATCACTGAACTTCTCTCAAACGACTGGACCGATTTTGATGAAATTTTTTGTGTGTGTTCAAGGGGACGTGGGAATGGTTTAGATTCACAAATCAGCCCGGCAGATTGCGCTGCAGTCGATGTTTAGGTTATTTATCCTAAACAGCTGAACTAATTTGAATGAATTTTTGTTTATACATTCAAGTGGATATGCAGGACAACGTCTGTTGGGTCCGCTAGTTTATTTATAAATACCTTGCTAAGTATCCTCTGAAGTGCGCCTGTAGTTTGGTAGCGGCGGCGCGCAGTTTGTCAGCGCGCGCTCGCTCCAGCGCCCTGTGTAACGCCTCCCTTATGAACACTCGGGCTGCACCTAACTGGTAGTCCGCACCAACTGGGGGAAAAGGAATATTGTTAGCGTCTATTGTTATTTTTAAATTGAATTAGGCTGTGATGTTCACATTACGATTTGATTAAGAGGCAGTGGAAAACAATTTTGAAGTAATGTGGTATACTAGATCACTAGATGTGGCTTCTTCTGCTTCTTGGAAGAACACTTCATAACTTATTTTCGTTTAAGATTCATAAGGTATTAAGATACAACCTACATTCCAAGTAAATAAATATAATAATTAAAGTTATAGCCTATATTTAATGAATTAATAATATAATTATTTGGCACGTTATAATTTCACGTTATAATTCACAGAAATGGCTTCCGAACACACACAAGAGCACTCACACAAGACCATAGCCTCCAAAGTAAAACCTCTTTTCGTGACTCTTTTCCATATTGTTCCCATAGCGGCCAGTATCGAGACACATCACAGTATGACGGATGGGTCACAAGTCAGGTGATGACCACAAGATAACGGTACCGATAGCAACTGATAAATGTACCGCTGCGATGCATTTATACTGCACTAATTGCTATGGCCATTGATAGATGCCAAAGTTAAATGATTATAACACAATAATATCTGTAGCAGATATAACAAGTATAGTACCTACTTCCGAAATTCCGTATAAAAATGTGCGATAGTAGTAAAACTAGTATCTAGAAATTATATGTTAATTAACTGGCTAGGTTCTTTTGAAGTGATTCATCATCGATGTAAATAATTTTTGCAGACAAATGAGTGAGGCTTTTTATAACTTCATTTTACTTTAGTAAATGATGCAGTGAACAGTGAACAGTGTAGCTGGGAACTTCCTTCCATCATCTTTTTAGTGATACACACATGTATATGTGAAGTTTCTAGATACTAAAATTATATGTTTATTCGTATAACTCATTCGCAAAGTGAACATTATCTAAAGTAAGTATATTTACCTGCGCCGGTGGGTGGCATCTCCGCAAGTATGGAGTTGCAGATCTCCCTGTATGGAGTCGAGCGAGACGGAGTTGACTTTAACAGGTATCTGTAAATTAATATCATAATAAGTCATTGTTCGTTTTAAACACGTGTCAATAAAGTAGAGCCATGCTTCATAGATAGGTACTCGACCAAAGTGATACCACGCCTTCATAGAAAACTGGCGTAAAGCAACTGTTTTATTCTGTTTCGCTAAGTGAGTGAGGATACCAGAGGCCCAACCCTACCCCCAACCCCCAATCCCGAAATCTCCAATCTAAAAGGCTGGCAACGCAATTGTAACTCCTTGGGTTCTGCGGGTTTACACGGGCAAATCAGGTGATCCCCCTGCTCGTTTGCCACGTTTTACCTTTATATATAACTAGCTTTTACCCGCGGCTTCGCTCGCGTCACAAAAGGATAAAAAGTAGCCTATGTGACATATACCAATACACACAGCGCTATCTATAGCGCTATATATACCAATAATTTAATTTTCCCTCGAGAATATCAAATTTTTCCGGGATAAAAAGTACCCTATTATTTAATCCAGACTTCTAACTTTACGTCTACAAAATTTGAACGCGGAACAAACAAACAAACAAATAAACTATATCTAACCTATATCTCTCAACGAAGTTCTGGAAAGGTATTCTGATGGGGTATCCAGTCTGTCTGATCTTGATGGTGTCGAGCATGCCTGTGTAGCGCAGCTGTGCCAGTACGCACGGCATGTCGAACTTCATGGGAGACTTGTCCGTGTTCGGTTTGATGCAGCGCACGAACCAAGGGTTGCAGCGCGACATCGATTCTAGAAGCTGGTGGAGGCTGTCTGAGAACCTGGAAGAAAGATTGATATAAAATAAAACAGAGGAATGTAGTGATATTTATGATGGATAGCCTTTGTGTTTCTGTGTTATAACCGCTGAGAATGAATTAATAAAGTATACCGAATTTGAACTTTATTCCAAAACGGTATGGATGAAAATTTAGCGTCAAACCTTGGCTTGAATCATGAACAAGTGTGGGAGAGCCATGCTTCGGCACGAATGGACCGGCTCGACCGGAGTGATACCACGGCCTCACAGAAAACTGATGTGAAACAACGCTTGCGTTGTGTTTCGTCGTGTGAGTGAGGTTACCAGAGGCCCAATTACCCTCCCCTTTCCCAATCTCCCCAATCCCTGATTCCTCAACGATCCTCAAATTCCCAATTCCCAAAAGGCCAGTAACGCACTTGTAACGCTTTGGTGTTCCAGGTGTCCACGGGCGACCGCGATTGCTTACCATCAGGTGATCTGTCTGCTAGTTTACCGGCTTATGCCATAAAAAAAGAACTATGTAACATATGTTAATCCAAACTTACCTAGCCGCAACTGTAGGCGTCCTCGGTTTCATAGTAACGAATCTTCCATTGGCTCCTCTCGGGAGGGTCTTATTGGCGTCATGTTGTGCCCTCAGTTGCGTGGACATCTCGGCCACGAGGGGAACCTCACTGCTGCACAGTAACTCCAGGACATCAGCTCGTAGCGCGTCCCGGTTCTTGTCCAGGAACCCGTCCACGTTGTACCACACCTGACCAGCGTAGTGTCTGATCTGAAATTAAGGAGTTGTTTAGATTAGATAGTATTAAAAAAAACCTAGTGTGCGTTTTCACCTTGCTCTCCCAATTTTTAATTAACCCTTAAGTTACATTTAAGGCCTTTTTGTTTTCACTAACCTATTAGCGACATCTAACAAGTAAGGGGTTAGTTTATTAGGTGGTACGTCACGCTAAGTAACTTTAAGTTAAGAGATGGTTTAAGGGTGGTTCAAAATTGCCATAGGTGAGTTTTACATTGCGATTTTTTGTGAGTATTTTTGGTTGATACATTTTTTTACATACAATTACATGGGACTCATAACATAAATAGTGAAAAGTGGGTGTTACATTGTACAGTGGGATAAAAGGCGTGATGTTATGTTATTTTTGGTTGTCTGTGGTTGGCAGCTTACTGCCCTTATGTATGTTTAAAAATATTTTATTGTATCATACAGTCGAAGACATTATTGTCTTCCTATTTTTTGTTGCATAAGTTAATGGCATTCCAGATTTTCTTTTCCTTACGGACAGACCTCACGTATTGTATTTCTTGCCTGCCACTGATAATCGCAAACGATTAACGATTTAATATTCCATTTCCGTTCTTTGAATACCCCTGTGTATACAGAGTTATGTGTAGCGTTTTTCATTGTAATTGAAATTATGTTTTTTTTTTATATCATGGAACGAGTTTAGTAGAAGCTGCATTTAATCGATAAAAATCGGTTGATTCTGATCACACATTGAATATTCACTGGAAAATTCTAATTTTATTAATAGGGAGAAGTGCTCCATTTTTGCACTGATGTAGGATTTCTATTAAAGTAAAAAATCGCAGAGTAAAGACTCTAACAGACACTGAGGGGAAATATATAAGAATATTTATTAACTTTACATAATCACACCCACACCCATTGATATAAACAAATTGCAAATGATAAAGCAAGATAATCGATCAAATCAATAGATATTTAATTAAGTAAATTGATTGATTGACAAAACTGATATTGGTCATCAACATCCCGCTGATATAATTGACCTACAGATGTCAGTGCGTTAGAGAATGTCTGTAGATGAGATGGAACATTAGTCACGCGACCTTGAACTATCACGACATACAAATATACGCCAAAATTTCGATACTGATGAATCATGTAAACAAAACGAGGAAAAATTCTTGAAAATATCTATGTAGGTACATTTATATGGCATGATACAGGATTTAGGCTCACGATTGAAAGTAATTTTTAAGTACTTAGACAGTTTTATTGAGGCCTTTTCTTGCTACGATACTTCGTTAATAAATCTATTACTTACTCCGAATTCGCTAGCTCCCAGTCTTGGCCTCGAATAAAGTTCGTTCAACGCGTGGTTGTAATGGCACTTCTCTAGGAACGAGGCGTCCGACGCCCGCGGGAAGTTGCTCTCGTCGTCTAGCAGGTGCAGGATACCCACTGGCTTCTTACTTAGCAATTGTATCACTGAAACAAACATCGAAATGTAAATACTATCCAGCGTAAAAAAAGTCCTAAACAGTAAAACAAGATTCGTACCAGGAGAATTATCATTCCAAGTTAAATTCGACCACTCCAAACGTTCTTTCTGATACTCCTGCTGCTCCAATTTAAATATGTGCTTATTGAAATAATGTTGCAGAGTTTCGTTAGCATAGTTTATGCAAAGTTGCTCAAAAGAGTTCTCTTCCAAGTCTTCAAATCCAAAGATGTCCAGGAGAGAAATTCTGTGAGCATCGTGTAAGCCGGCGCGGTGGACTATCGAGTTGATGCGCAGTACTAGCCAGCTGAACAGGGAGGAGTAGAGTGCCTTAGCGAACGCGTCCCTCGCGTCTAGCGCCTGGTCGATGGGCAGTGGTGACCGCATGCGCTCCGCTCTGGCTGCAGTCACTCGTGTGGTGAGGGCCCGGGCCATCGCCTCTGCAGGAACCTTCAGCAAGTGGGCAGCCCAACGTACTTCAGCGCCCCCGCCTAACTGAACTCCTTCTTGACCGTGTCGTAGCTGTCGTCTGTGGAAATATACATTTCCCAAATGCAACACGGCTGCTAAAACCCTAATAATGTCTTCTCTCTCTGCGTCACCGATACCAAGAACTTGCATAGCACCACATAGTGCAGACCAATCGGCGCCAGCGCCAGCACCGCCGGAGTCTCCTCCTTGATTCAAGTAGAAATAGTGCTCAGCAGTCAGTAGACCTCGGGCCCGCCTTTGTTCTTCGTCTAATCCAGCAAGTAATTCATAGAATACGTGATAGTTCCTCTCTCCAGGAGACTGTGTGACTATTCGAGATTTCTCTAGCAAGTAGTGTGCTACTCTAGCTCCTGCTAAGGAGCCATCTTTGAAATACAATTCTAAGAGTTTTCCAAAGCGACTAGAATTGTGATTTTTTGGTGTTCTTGCGTTTCCGAAGGCTTCCAATAAAGGAGCTGCTTCGAGAATTTGTTCGGAGACGGGAGCCCTGCCGGGCGGTGCGGGGGCGACTGCGGCGAGGAACTGGACGGCCAGTTTAGTGGACTCAGTCTTTCCCGCACCAGACTCGCCGGAGATCAATATAGCTTGAGGCTGTGGAAGGGCCGCGCGAGCAGCCGCCGCTATGGCAAACAAATGTGGTGGGAGATCGCCTAGCGCCTCTGCTGCGTGGTACCTGGAAATAAAGACGTTACAAAATTAATGACTAAGTATAGAACAAAACGGTCCAGTATATTCAATGTTGAACAGAAGTATCTTACCTCCTTGCAGTCTGCAGGCCATACAATGCGTCGACAGGTCTGTAAGGGTTTACTGCTACTAATATGGAGCCGGCGTATGTGTATATCAACCCTTGTTCATATCGTAGTTTCAAGTTCCACAGTAGGGCCGCTTCGTGGAGGTCGTGGAGCCTCGTCATGTCGTCCACACCAGTGGGGCCCAGCTCCTCGCGGGGCCAGACGGGATCCCCTTCATCTTCACCATTGCCCATTTGTAGGGCAAAGGTTTGAGGCTATAAAAAAAAAATAAAAAACAGCTTTAATTACCTATAACAGAGTGAATATATTAGAACACAATTCGTACGCTACTTAGCAAAATTCTTTTCTCTCATAGTTATTCAATATTTAAACGAATGATATTAAAAAAGAACAATAAATAAATAGGTAGACGTCAGCGTCAGTGCGGAATTATGAAGCCCAGCCGGCGTAACTGTGAGTCTGTGACATAACATAATGGCTCCTCACAATTGTATCAGCACATCTTCCGCGACCTGCTCTACTAAGTTATTTTCGCTATCGAGATCACTTAAATTCGTTACAATTCAACGCTCGCTGCGTTCGCATATTTCTTTTATATTTCTTTATAAACCGCGTAATGTACAATACATTGATTAGATAACGTCGTGTCGTGTTGTATTACCGGTGTGAGGATAGATTGCAATTTGCATGGAGTTACATTTATATTACGCGGTTCGGTTGCGCTCGAGTAAACATCATTACCGATCGAGTCCGTTGATTAGCATGATACTGTTAGCTGACCCTCATTTATACAAGTCACATAAGCAAATTAAAATAGTCATCTCCATTACTTGTTGACGGCTGGTCATTAATATTGTGCTTGACGTTTACTCGCATAGGTACTGAATCAGACGTCTTCAAACAGGAATGTATTTAATTTAACAAAAGTTTTGACTTTCAGATCTTAAGATGGCCATTCATTATTCTCAGAAACAGGGCTTTGATTTAGACTTTTTGATGCTAAACATAGGTAATCTATACGGTACCGTAGTGGGAGCATTTCTTTCGTTAGTGGCTAACCTATGAGGTTTTCCCTAGATACATAATATTCATGTTATTTGATTTCAGTGAAGATATCAAAGTATACTTATTATTCACTTACGTAATTGGGTATCAAGTGTAAAATTAAATCATTTTCGTGCAGTATGAATGAGAACTTGACAACTGTAATTACAAAGTCGAGATAAAATATAATTTTATTTAAATCCATTTGAAGTTAAATGACCGTAACTAAATTAGAATAAACTGTGCATTACGTTCATTCATTCGTTGACATTTGGTTAACAATAGTGTAGGATTTTGTAGCATATTTAAATCAAAGAGACATTATTTTTCTGATTTAAGCCCTGTGGTTGTTTACCTTAGCTAGATTCATAGAATGACTTATGGTGACTCGTCTTTTAGTGAAGTAACAAGCCCTATTGTAATGGGTGTATTGATACGCGATCAATGCAACAGTTAACTAATGATGTCTACATATATAAGTCTGGAAATTAGGTGCATAGCTTTAGTTATTAATTAACCATTAAAATAATATAAAAATTACATTATTAACAAGGACATCTAGACAAAGATCCTTCAGAGATGCAATAGAGGTCGGTCTTCGACACCTCCAGCTCCTGTTTGAAGCGGCTGACTTCGAGCTGCCTGTACCAGTACCAACTTTCTTCATGATCGACTTAATAGTCTTCGTCTCACAGCTGTTCTGACGTCTAGACAAACGAAATCGACATGTGGAGTCACAAGACACGCCAGATTTAGAAGATTCTGGAGAGCTGTGCGGTGTTGGCGCAAATCGGACACGCATCGGCCAATAACGGACGATTTGACGAAATATCTTATATCTAAACTCCGTATCTTTATTGCATACGTGCTTTAATACTAGTATCTTAATGTGATCTCGTTCATAGCAATATATTCACTAGAATGCAATTTATCACGTTCGTTTTATGTTTTGATTTCATCTCACGTTCCTTAATAAATGTTAAAGACAATTAAATCATATTGGTATCTCTAAGGTAAATAGCATTTGATCCAATTAGACCAATTATAATATGCAAGAAGACATGTCTAAGGTTGAAATAAACAAAGAAGTGAGAACTTCACTCCGATTCTGAGTCTGAGTTTTAACACATTTGTTTTCAAATGGAAACACAAACTTTCCCCACTTAAGTCAGTTTAAGGAGAGCTTTTCTTTGTTTATTTGTTTCGTTCTGTTCTTGTTTCCAGTTGATCAATAAGGTTATGTCGATTTTATCTATGTATAACACGTCATTATCAATGTATTCTGTCTTCAATTTTCTCCAGGAGCAAATTCATCCTTCGTCCACAAGTTTAACCTCCATCTGCCCAGAGTGTAGCTTTAAAAACGAAACATTTCTCCTATTCTGGTGTCCGTACCACAATTAGTGAGATATTCACTGATACACCACAACTTTCCACCACATATCTAAGCGTTAGTTTCTAGTATTTCACATGAGAAAACCACAGAACGTTTTATGGAATTAAACGTATCCCGCAAAGTACGTTGCGCGGTGGCTGGCTACTGGCAACTAACTGATTGTACCACATACCATGCCGTGGTACATGCACTGTTATGGTGCCTCTGAGGATAACGGCCTAGCCTGGACCACCTCAGATTAAGTAACACATTTATATTACCGCTTCTAATATAAATTTTACGATTATTTTATGTTTAACCAAGTAAGATAGCTGAATATTCCAATACATTTCGTCATTCATGGTATCATGGTTGGTTACCTATAGTGTTCAAGAGGAATGCAATGCCAAAGTTGTACCTCGTAGTTCGTATATTAAAAGCACCTATTGCAAATTGTTTGCCTTTTGGGCAGTTTTCATTTTACTAAGCAAATGTATGTATGCTTCATCCTTAAAACTAATAATAAGCGAGAATAGGTATAAGGAGTAACAGTCAGATACGTCACTCTTCGACGCATTCAGGATAAAATTCGAGTTTATAACTACCTAATCATTAGTAATTTCCATAAGTTTTCGCAAATCACAATTATCTGTCCATCTACATGTTTGCACCAAAGCGTGGCGTAATTGATTTATTGTATAATTTGCGTGCAGCAATTTTAGAAAACCGTCACCTGACAGATCAATATCGCAAACTACTGTTAGACTTTACTGTGATATACGTAGATAACCCAATGTCTAATTATAGGTAGGTACATATGTATAGCATAAACTTTCCGTTCCTGCATTTACCATCAGCCGGGAAGTTGTGTTGAAAATAATTGTCTTTCAAAATTATCCGTTCATAATCGCAGACAAGGTTTAGTGGACATTTACTATGTTAGAATTAGATATGGTGATTAGAATTGAGAACGAGTGCAGTTATGAAATTTGTGCCCGTACGTAATAATGGCGTTATGGCCAGGTTCCAACTTTACCTAGGGAAAATGGATGAAATTTAATGAAAAGCAGTTAAACAATACTGGTTGTTATGTATCTGAGACACTAAAAAATACTCAGGTAAATACATAAATTGTTCTAAATCAATGTCTATTATTATCTAACCCTAGCTTGCAAACACAAGGTCGAGATGACGACGGATACATCTGGATTTTACCGTTACGTAATAATATAGGTAATGCATCCAACCAATGATTGTCCAGGGTCAATGTGACCTCTTTGCACCTTCCGACATTACAACCAATAAAACGGAAATTCTTTGCTAAGAAACCTATTATTTTGTTGGTACAAAAGCGATCTGACACAAAGACAGGGAACAATGTTCCACTGTGATTGGCGAGAAAAGGCATTCGGCTGATCGCAAGGCCGCGGGCGGAATGTTGATAGAGAGTTGACTCAGCCCAGCTGCCTCTTGACTTATGCGCGCCTAGTACCTTGATTAAGTTTTGTAGGTATTAATTTGCTGTAGCAAAATTTAAATCATATCTACAGGAATGTCATTTTTGAGGATTTTTTATGTACTTCATTCAAACCTCCCATTTAAACTGTGTTGGTAATAATGGGTTTGCCATCTGCAATATGTCTACATAGGCCATTGTCCATGTGTCCATCACAGAAACACAATGTAAAAAGTCGTCAAACTAGTTTCGGATGATCTTAAAGAGGATTGGTCAAGTCTAAAATAAAATATGTCCTCAGAAACAACCTGTTTACAGTTTTTGCTCTTAACGGTAATATTTCGACTAGTATGTCACCTGTTAGGCCATTCTTAGAACAATCGAGGCATGAATCGACTCCTTTTGTGTTTTGGAGAGAAATATCTATCTGCACAGAAGTAGGTACGTAGTATTGTTGATCATAATCTGTTTATGTAAGTAACTTAATGAGGCCGTTTGCTCGGCAGTCACCCTTGCAATGCAAAGTAGAGCAATGTAAGAATGCTTTTCAAAATTGAACCTTGTTTTGATGGTAGAAGAGAATAATTTATTGTTAGTGTCCCTACTCTTCTCACGGGTTTACTAAGAGTTGAGAGCCGAATAAGGGACTACACATCTCACAAAGTCCGAGTAGTAAAGATCTCTGATGAATGTGAACCTTTTGAAGAGTTTAAACCCATGTATCAAACGTGGAGATTATGCAAAGGGGGCCCATAGTCTAACAGGAGGGAGTGTCAGACTCTTACTTACTAAAACCACCCCATTCCTACTCCTGCACTTCGAGCCGGAGCCTTGGTAAACTTCTACGTACGTCTCGTATTGGGCCCCATCCGTGGTGGTTTGATGGCTCATTGAGGCGCGCGGCTACTAACAACTTTAAATATCCACACTATAACGTGTTATGGCAAAACTCATTATTACATTTCGAGTAATAAATGGAACGTATTACATAGCGGGTGCGATACCGTCACGATTTGACACCAACTTACATCGTACGTGACTACTAGAGCTGTGACGCAACAACGCGTTTAATTATTTCATGGTTGTGAATTTGACGATATCACTCTTTATCATAAGGCTTTACAGATATGTTACATATAGTAACAACTTTGTCTACGGGATCCCTCTCATTTTGCCGCAAAAAGTATTGAATTTGCCCTAAGATAATTACACTCCACACACTCGTCACAAGAAAACATCCGGTCCAGAAGAGGCCCATGGCAGAACGGAAGAGGTGTTTGTTGCATGGAAGAATTTAATATCTCACCTAGAACTACGTTCTGTCATTTTGTGTACATTAAATATATTAATTTGGTTGTTTGTTTCGTTAATGATGACATAAACACAGTAATATGCTTATAAGGAGTGAGGGTGTAGATTATAGCAAATTTTTCGCTTGTTTATACATAAAGTGCAGTTTACCTGTCCATTAAGATGTGCGGAGACCAGCAGCACTCTTGCGGCGCGGTGCACCTCCACCAGCTCTCCGGGCAGTGGTGCGGCGGCGCCAGGTGGCTGAAACCACACCGACGCACCCTCCGACCACTCCGACAGCCCCCCGGAGCCCGCCATGCTGGAATAAGAGATAGACATCAGAATACTCAAGTCTCAAGAACCTTTGAAGTCGAACTGTTCTAAAGTTTTTTCAAATATCGACCTCCACCAGTAAATGCGAACGCAAAGCGAGAAATCCCTAAACATATTTTTATTTTTTTTATTCTGGCTTAATGTAATGAGATTGCAGCCCTAATGTGATATGATAATTAATACTTTCATTTGTGTTTTGTGCAGGTGGGGCATTTTTTTATTTCTGTGCAAAAAAAAATATTTTTTCTTGTGTTTGCTTGTGTTCTTCATTCTGTTATAGAAAGTTTGACAAATTAACAAAAACAACGTCACGTCTGTGTAAAGGAGGTATAGAAGCATTGAATTGCCGAGTGACCTGATCCTGGCACACATTTCAAAACTTAAACAATACGCTCAGCATTGTGTTCATTGTTTGTTATATTACCGTATCTAGAACTGTCACGTACAGACAGAGTAACATATAGTACCAGGTATGTTCAGCACTATGTAAATATTGAGTACATACCCAGGTACGTACTCTGCAGTGCCAGCACTGCCCAACATAAAAATGCATGGTTGTTCAAAACAAAAGGGTTGAAATGTAACGGTAATGAAAGATTTAAATAATATTGTTATTTTTTATTAAAAAATCTTATTTGAGTATCGATCTTACAATTAAATATAATATAGACACGTAATACATATTATTTAACAAAACATATTGTGATAACAAGTTAACGAATACAATCTATAGATTCGAACTGTCACAAGTAGATGGGCGAGGGAGAGCAACCACAACCGCATGACGGCTGGGATGACTGGAAGCAGATAGGAGTGGGAGGAGGGGGCTGCACACAGAACGGCTCTAGGGCAGGTGGCTGGATGCACATCGGAGGAGGTAGGGGAGGCTGCACCATTACTGGAGGTAACGGAGGAGGCTGCACGTTGATAGGAGCAGGAGGAGGACTCTGCACACACATCGGGGGTGGGCATGGTGGTTGTACGGTTATAGGCGTTGGCGGAGGTAGCTCAATCACCATCGGAGGTGGTGAGGGTGGCTGAACCATCATTGGCGGTAGTGGTGGTGGCTGCACAGGCATTGGTGGCATTGCAGGTGGCTGGATCATAATCTGGCCCAGAGGTGGTGGTTGTACAACAATCGGTGGTGGAGGAGGCAGCTCAATCACGATCGGAGGTGGTAGGGGAAGATCCAAGAATATCGCTGGTGGCATAGGTGGGTTTACATACATCGTGGGAGGACAAGGAGGCGTCACACACATGGGAGGCGGAGGAGGAGGTGTCACGCAAATTGGTGGAATGGCAGGAGGAGTGATGGTCATTGGTGGCAATGGTGGAGGGTTAACCATTACTGGAGGCGCTGGTGGTGGCGTAACAGTAATTGGAGGAGGACAAGGCAATTCTATCATCATTGGTGGCAACGGGGGAGGTTGGACCGTCATTGGTGGTGGGGCTGGAAGTGTGACGTAGACAGGACACGCTGGAGGGGCGGGGATGTTCAGAGGAGGAGAGCAGCAACCGCATTGTGGAGGTTGTGACACGTAGGGACCAGCCGGGGGTGGCGCAGGGTACGATGATACGTAGTACTGGCCATTAACGATATGCTGGAATAAAATGAAATATGATAATTACGGATAATGGAATAACGAATGTAGGTGTATAGGACTTTGAAAATCAATAAAATACACTTAATTTAAAAATAACCTTACCTGAGCAACCGCTACTAATAGTAGGATCAACATTTTTCTAGTCACCTCCATCGGTGACCGATGAACTTGAACTTGTCTTTTCCCACAAACAAACCCTTTTTATACATACATGTTACCCCAGACATTTATGCAACATCGATACAAAAGTACGAAATCTTGATTAACAAACATTTTCAAGTAATATTTGTAACTTATCAAATGTATTGTAATCTAGTAGCATAAATAGTGAAAAAGTGAATAAGTCACGTTTGAAAGAAGATAAGGACATTTACAAATGTTTTTAGTGAAAATACTTCAGTTTAATTACATATTTGCGTGTAGTGGTGTGCCTAAAATGGAACTTCGATCCCAGAAATGTGATATTCACTGTCTATTTAGAGATAATCGAGACTTATGACAATCCACCATAGAATTCCAAACTTTTAAGTCCATTCAGCAGCTTTTATTTAAAATATTGTAAACTGTATTATGGAAATAACAGCTTTTATTATAGAAGTTAAAGCATAACATCTTACAGATATCTAAGATATAAAACCAGAAACTGAAAGAGAGGAAACTTATTATTTTACACTTGGAACCGAAATTGTTGCAATGCGAGTAGGAAATCTGATTGTAAATATTAATTTAAAAGCTGGAGATGACAGTTCGCTCCATAAACCAAGAGCTAACATGAGAACATGATTTAGATTAGAAAGAGAAAACGAAGCTGCTGCTTATGTCATTGTAAATCTTAGAATGCGTAATTGAATCGATCGTTCGGAAGATTTATAGCTTGTCGATCATAAATAAAAGAGAACTTTTTGCGATCAATGTTTTCATTGAACTTCGTTCGTAAATCTTCGATAACATTCAGTTGTTTCTCAAGGTGAATGTTTATTTTTATAGTTTTTGTTAATATTATGGCCTCTTAGGCTGTTACGGATTAACTCGTCGAGTACCGTATTTATAGACACAATTAAAGAACAATAGGTCGCGGTCACCGGTGACCGCTTGGTGTTTGACAGTTTAAGTATACGTAATATCACTAAGATTGTTTTAGGATTTTTAATCATAAAATTCTCAGTTTAGTTAGTTTGCGTTCGTGTCCTACATATTAGCGCCTTTGAAGGTACTAATGTACTAATAATAATAAAAAATGTTATAAGTATTCCAAGTTGTTGTCGAAGCGATATCAGTAAATTATAAAGATCCCATTCGACTTTTGTTCAAGAATCTTTCCAGTGGATTACACATGAAAGTAAAAAGAGGAGATGAATTATATCCTTTTACCTGGATACTGATAGCATAATACTATATCATTTCAAAGAATTCCAGCACTAAAGAAATAATTTAACTAGAAGTTAACGCAAACATATGCTCAGTAATTGCCTTCTCTTGAAAGCATGACGAAATTACTGCTAAAGAAATTAAAGACATATTGATTTATGAGAAGATTTGATTTTTTTAATTACCGCGAATGTCTTGATTTATGTACTTGTGTCAGTTATGTATTTAAATCGTAAAAAAAGTAATTAGTTGTAAAATATCTGACGCGTAACATGTTTATGGTATAAGGTTCCACCGTCGGAAATGATTTTCACTTTCTTTACCAACGTCACTTGACATTCAAGTGCTATTAAGGTACATTAGTAGTACTATGTAAGTGCTTCAGTAGAAATCTTGCCGCTTTTCCTTGCGTGATGTGTGAAGAAGCAGTTCAATGGGAAATGTGTTGAAAAGGGAACATTTTCACTTGTCATACATGACACTGGCTACACGGCTAAGGAAAGAACTGTTTAAACTACAAATGGATAAAGTTAATTCTATTCAATAGTAGGTAATTTGATAGGACTGCAAACCTTTTCCATCAACAATGCCCATTTATTTTTAGTTTTACTACTTATATTATTCACACACGTTAGATGTTATCTAAACCCATTTTTCATTTAGCAAGCAAACTTTCTCGGACATTTATTGCATCAAGCACTCACGAGACAACGATGACGATCAGTAAAAACTAAAATATTCCAAACTGAATATTTTCTCTCATACACGTGCTCGCCTCAAGTCGAACCTTGTTCTCTAAACGAGTCAGTGTAGACAGCTGATTCAATACATTAACATAACCATTTCTAATGTCATTCTCGTCGGCATAAATATCAAACGCACCCATGACGACCTAAAAAAAGTTCATTGGATCCGGGAAACAATGGTCCGAGAGCCACTTCCGTCTGCCAAAGACGTGGAACCAAACCCACTTCTGGTGCATACCAATTGAAATAACCTGACCGATTTTGATAGGCATTTGAGCAAAGAACGTTGATAGATTGGTAGTGTGTTGTGTATTCGGTCGGGTTGTCGCAGTGTTGTGTATTCTGACTCCGCATCGACCTCAAGAGGTAAGGCTTTCTACACGCACGTTCGTTGCTTCCATAAGTTGATCTTAGGTGTCGCGTAAATAATTAATAGGCGAGCTCAATGCAAGTTAAGCATGTTAAAGAATGTCACGGTTAGACCTAATCGTTAACAAAGCAAAGTTACAGCATCGTAATTAGATGAGCTTTTGAGGAATGATTTGATGTGAGACAAATTAGACGCATAAAACTTTAACTGAAAATTAAAGACGACTTATTCACATTTGATGGAGTTCACCAAGGCATCGTTCTAGGCCCACCTTTAGTAAACATTGTATGAATTGATTCACATGCTGATTGCAGACTATCATTCAGATCACGTACGATAAGTTTACAAAGTTCAAGAACAAGTTGTTTCAAAGTACACAACCATAACCTTGGATATAATGTGAACTGCTTAGTGGATTTTCTTTTTGTTTTTCTAACTACTTGTTTAAATATCAATTGTTCAAATGACAGTTTTTTTGGATTCTTGTGAAATAAAAAACTTACTTCTGAATGGTATTGTTTACGTGTTAACTTTTATTTAAGGTCTAAGGTACCAGCGCATCAGGCTGATGAGTAAGATGGCATAAAGTATTAGGTGGTCTAATTAACTCCAGTTAATCATTTACACAATGTACACAAGATATTCATGAAAGATTAGCCTTCTGTCGTAAACTGGAATTAGGTAAGTTCGTAGCTAATTATCATGTCACAATTTTTAATGAGTATATCCCCAATAGTTATGTAAAGTATGTTTCAAATAAAACGAATGATCCAGCATCTAGAAACGCATAATTTTATATTATTACACAGCCATAAAGAATGAAGTAATAAAAAACGAGGTTAAAGAATTAAATAATTGAAATAAATCGTGTCAATGTTAGAAAAAACGCAACTTTTAATATTACAGTGCTAGGCGTCGTGGAAGCAAAGGAATTCGCACGGTGAATCAGTACATAATAAAAACTGTACATTTTAACAACGGGTTAATATCATTAAAAAAAGTACTAGCAATGATACGGTTGGGCGCATTTCGAATCTATCACTTAGGAAATAAAAAAGTCTCCCGTCAAAAGAAATTATAAAATACTTGTAAGCGAAAATTTTTATGGTTCACGTTCCCCATCGCTAATTTAATTATCATTTTAATAAAACGTTTTCGTTCGTAAATAGTACCATTCATTGTAGCCAAGTACTCATAGACATTTCTATATTTATTTTCTTGCTTGTCAAATATTGTGAATGAGACAACTGCGAATTGAGCGTCATAGACAAGTTTGGCCTCACAAGGCAGTCCCGTTACAGCCAGCTAAATTGTGACACGTCGCCCGTGGCCATAGTATTGACCGTTGTAAGCTTTTTTTGGTAAGGTTTTTGAAATGGCAAATTAGTTCCCACCATTAATTCATCGCCAAAATAGACAGTTACGATTTTAAACGTAACCTCTTTGAAAGTACTTTTCTTGATTAATTCTTTGATCAATCAACGCTACCACACAAGGAACGGATAAAACTATATCTCTTATTTTCGACAATTTATGCAAGGATGGATGACATGTGCTGTCGAAAACGGTTATTGTTAATTGTATAATAGCTACGCACCCACAACACAAGCGGTTTTGTCTAATTAAAAGTTGCTCAATTTTGCCGCCGTAATTAGAAGTTGTTATAACATAGGTAATTGTATTAAGGAATTGTGATGATTGCATTATGTTACATCACTAGCGCGGTTTATCGACTTTTACATAAAGTCAAAACTTGCGCGAAATCGCAAGAGCGACATCTGAAATGGCAAAATGCAGTCGTGAAATGTCAAAGTTGACAAAAGACAATTATACGACCTTTGTGGTACTATGTATTACATTTGATTTTGGAATCTCGTGTCACTATCTTTTATTGTTCTACAAACGCATCGAGTTCATTTTTAATTCAATCGACTTCAATTATCACATCTTTTATTTTAATAGTTAATATGAAACAAATCGTGATCATCTGTCATTTATTATTTAACAAATTACTTAGAAGGTCATAGCTGTTATTACTTAAACTTTTTGTACACTACACTACACAGGCAAAAACAATCATATTGTTCTTTTAAAATTTCAAATATAATAATAGACACCAACATTTTTCCCTCATTATTTCCACATTTAGTTGGTGACACAATCGTTCGGCCTTCACCTTCAGTCGCTGCATTTTTCTCAGGAAGCATTTGACTTGACTGTACGGTACTGGCATTTATTAGAATGTAATCATCTTTAATTAGCTACACGTGTATAATTCTGACATATAGCAGGCATTAAGATGCCTTTGTCCCATGGGAATTAATGGACCTGATAATACCTTAGTATGACGTGTCTTCTCTTCTCTGAGCCACGAGCTTGGTTTAATTAAAAAATTCGTTCCACTTGAAGGGTCATCCATAAATTACGTCACACGAAATTCATGATTTTTTGCCCCTCCCCCCGTCCTTGTCACAGCTAGTCACATTTGCGAGACTCACCCCCCCTAGCGTGATGTCACGTTTTGCAGAATTACAGTATAGAAACTATTGTTATTTTTATTTCCACTTAAATTACTTTAAAAAATATTAATATCAAACCAATTAACACGTTAAACGCCATGGGGGTCACCGGTGACCGGCGTTAGCGGATGA